TCTCCCAGGAGATGTGCATATGATAGACTAAATGTCATAATGATGTGAACAAATGAGATGTAACATGCACGGAAAATATATGTTTTCCATTAAATTTCCACAAAAATGATTGAAAATGTCTTGGGAACTATTTAAGCAATTTACAATATTGTTTAAAAAGGTACATCTGGGCACACTGAGTACAGTCTTTTGTCGTTCATCAGCAATGTATTTAATGAGGGTTTTTTTAAGTGATAGATAGTTAAGGTAACAGACAAGTGACAGATTGTTTGTCTTTAACGATTTCCCTATTTCAGGCCCATTACAAAGCAATTAGAAATCTGACAGCATTTTTACTCTGCATTACTGATCATCTAAAGTGATGAGAAATGAGAGGTGATGAATATTAATTGTATATTTTCATATAATTATCATAAATTATTACCTTGTCTAGTGCGCTGCAGGTGGAGTAAAATCAATGGATGAAAATTCAGTCAAATATGATAATTTGAAAGATTTCATGACTTAGTTTTTGTCTTTAAAGTGCAGTGTCAATCATTGTAAACCAGGCATACATTAACTGAGGGAAAGACAAAGATACTCACACCTTTCCTCTCTCTGCTAGCACTGCTCAGCATGGCATTTACCTGTGACAATTATTTATCTCTTTTTTTGTAGCCTGCCACGTTTACCCTGGGCTTCTATCTATTCCTCTCCAACTTTATTCCATAAATATTTACATATGGCTTGAGCATTAAAACAGTATTAAAAGCTGTGCACTGGGCTGAACAAGTAGCAGCTATTCTCATCTCCTGTCACCCACTTGGTAAATATGCACTGTAATGTATTACTTAATTACACTGTGCTTCTATTCTCAGGGGAGCCCAGCCTCAACCAAAAATGGGGAGTGCTCATATGACTTGTTTGTTTAAAGTATGGACCTTTATTCAAACTGCATTCTGGAGATGCAGATATCAATAATAAACACCCACAACAAACAGTGGTTACACAACTTTTACTTGGTTCCACGCTGTAACTTCCAAGTCTTCATGACACTATTGTATCACTGGTCTTGAAAGGTCAAAGGATATCATCAGCTCCTTTCCAGACAGGCAGAAAGATGGCACAAAGATTGAACTGTCAAAGTGACAATGAATTTTGGTGCTCTGTTTTAGAATACAAAACTCCTATAAATTACAGCACTTAGTTTTATAATGCATCTCCTTCATTTACAGTTAGTGGAAAAATAATAAAACCAGATTACTGATGCTCAAAATCAGGTATTTAGGAAATGTGACTAGTGCTTGTGTTTTTCCTGGGAAAACCACTTTAATCTTTTAAGACAAAAACAAGAATGAAATCACATTTTTCTGAGGCAGCAGACCTTACCCATGAGATAATTCACTCTTTTACTGCATTTTCCTGCATATTTCTGGCTCAGAGAAGTGATTGAATTGGAGGAATCATAAAAAGAAGTTATTGTGTCACTAAGCCTTCCAGAATCCATGTACTTAAATAAAAACTGCAAATGCAAATTTATGGTTTTTTTATCTTGATTTTCAGTGCTTGATTTTGCAAACTTGATAATTTAAACAAACTGCATTTGAAAAATCACGTTATTAACGTGATGTTTGACCTTCCAAAACTGCTGTGTCAGTAAGGAAGTGTGTGGTGTAAGTTGTAACCACACAATCATCTACAGCCTTAATTTGCTTTCTCCATTGACCACAAAACCAGGGTTAAACATGTACTCTGATAGTGACCAGAGGTGGAATGAAAGGATAACAAGAAAGAGCACTAGTGTAGATAAAACTTTCAGATGTTAAATCCTCTGAAATGTGTTTTTTTCATATATGTATTAAACGCTTTCCTGGGTCAACAGCACACTGTTGTTTGAAAATAAAGGTCTCATTCATCCGTAGACTGCCATTATTGGTCACACTTTGTCAGTGTGGTATATTCTAATCCCCATTTTCATCCTAAAATGGAAAAGGTAGCATGACTAGGCTGGTACCACCAGGCATCACCGTCATTGTAAGGCATCTTATTTAAGAGTTGGACCTTGTCTGAAGTCAAGGTCCAGTTCTGTTTGAGTTTAAATTATAGATACATAAAAGTCAGCTTATTTCCCCCCCCCCCAAGTTGTATGCTAGTACATTCTGTAGTAACTGTTTTCAGATGTTGTAATTTCAATCCTAGTTTTGTCACGTAGGCTCAGTAGATTTAATAAGGAATTGTGTGATGCTCTGTGAGATTGTAAGAAAGGACTGCTCTGTCATACACATTTTTCTCAATATCCTTCTGCAACTGTGGAAATAAAGAGTGCCATTTTATGGCTTTCCTTTTTTCCTGTCTGTCACTGAACACAGAAGAGTTTTAAAACCCATCCACCCTCTCAGTATTAAAATTGCAGTTGTGCCTGTCCTGCATGTGGATTTTTCAAACAAAAGGACCTCTTTTCTTCCTCTCCCTCTTGTACATATGTTCACATTCTGCTTGGTCACGTGCTGCTAACCATGTGTGTAGAGCCACATGTTATGTCATATTCTTTTTTAAAATTCCTGTAATGAAAAGACTGGATAAGACTCCTTTTGTTGCCATACCTGGATCTTTATTCTGATATACTGAAACCAAATATTCAGGGGTTTGAAAAACCTTTTCAGAACTGGGTGTGTTTAATGTCACTTTGGTCACTTGCTACTGCAAACTGCAACATACACAAAGGCAAGGGAGCAACAACTGTGGTGTCCACAAAGCCTGAAAACATGACAGATTGACAGTATTTCACAGCTTATGTTAAAACCAGCTTCTTTAGAAAGTTAGTTATAAAATGAAATCTTTAGTTCTGGTATTCATTTTATTCGTTTTATTTTAATGGGCTCTTTCCAAGATAACTGGTTATGTTTCCACATGTTTGTTCAAAAAAAGTACCAGGCTAATTGGCTTTTTGCTTATTTTCTTTAGGGATACGGTTTATAATTTATCATTTGATGTACACTTTTCCATTATGTGGATTCTTTTAAAGACCAAAGTACTTTATAAGTATGGCAACAAGTAGTAAAGTGCCTTTTAGTATTACAGGGAAGAATACAGTTGCTGTTCCTCAAATGCCATTTAATTATATATTCCTATACTACATGTATTTTTCAGTCTTACCTTAAGGAAAACTGTTGCTTCTTCAGTTTGAACTGAAAGGTGTAGTTTGAAGATTCAGCTGTGCTGATCTGATGACCACTCGTCAGCGAAAGTGGCAAAATTCTTCTGCCATTCCTTCTTCACCTGCTTCAGCCGTGTGCTATAGGAGATCAACCCAGTCAAATGGAAATAAATGTTACTGAATAAAATTTACTTTCTTTCTGATTTTTGTAACTAGTACTGAGATTCACCTGGTTTAATACTAAAATTGTCTGTCAGCAGTGCAGTTGGTTTTTTTTTGGCTCACAGAATTACTCTGGTCTACTTTATTACGTTATTGGTACCAGTTACCTTAATGTTGATTGGGGGCTAGGGGAGGTTTTCTGTGCATGTTTCAGGCAAGTTCAGGGCCCATTGTGTTAGACTCTACAGACAAATCATTAACAAAATCCTCTCAACAAAAAATCAAGTCAATCTATTTAACAAAAGATCTAAAAGAAAGAGTAATTCAAGAAATTTGGGAGGGCAATGAAGCAGCAACCTCTTTGCATCACTAGTCAAATGGATCAGTTTGTGAGACTTACAGGTTTTGTAGCTGTTTTCAATGAACACAATGTTAAAAGTTGGTCTTGCTAACCTAAATGACATGATGATGTGTCTGCATTTTGTGGACTGTGAAAATGATAATATATATATACTTCAAATGCAAAAATTCATTTAAGAAATGCACAACAGGGCTTCAGTCCTGCAAAGAAGTGTGTATACTTCTATTTGCCCTGCAGTAATGGGCACACTGACGTGCTTAATATTAAACAACTGTGTGAGTATGTGCAGAAATTGGCTCTTAAACTGTAAGGCCAGCTTCAGGTTTGCTTTAGTGTTTACTGTTACTGTTAGTTTTTTACTGGTAACTGTGATTACTAAGCTGTCATACATATCAGCCCAGAAAATCTTGTCCCTGAAAAATAGTGCAGCCGACTGTGTATGTAAATTGTGTGTTGTTTCTTTTCATTAAAAGGAAACATATTTTCAAAAATTGATCTTGCTGCAGTATTAAAGCAAGCACTCAATTTAAGAGCTTACTTTGTTAGACTTTGCCAGCAGAGCTTTTGCAGTAACAGCATGAAAGTTTCCTTTTCCCAGGTAATGGATGGCAGATCATATAAGTAGGAAAAAGATAATTTAAAGTTTTCTCAACTGTCCCGCCTGTATGAATCAATTACAGGTAAAATATTAGATTCTCTGTATGTCCAAAAGTCAGTGATCTGCCTTAGGTTTGAATTAGGTGTAAATTCTGACCTGGACTCAGATAATTTTATCTGAAGGTCCATTGCATACTTTTCTTCTCCTAAATTATATATAAAAAAGAACCCTTCTTATTAAAAGAAATAAATAATTACAAAGCTCATGATTTCCTGGTGATGTCTATGTAGAGACAACTTCTGAAACACAGAAGTTTTTCCATTTCAGTAGAGGTAGAGGAGATGGGGGCGGCAGGGAGAAAACAACAGGTGAAAAGATGGATTTATTGAAAATCTGTATGACTTGATTTCAGGTGTTTCTGATTTGATTGTATGTACAGATAATCAGATTAATCTAAATCCACAAAGAATGTAATTTCTCTCTTTATTTATAACCTCCAAATTTTCATTTCAGTTTCAAATCTTGCAGCTCCAGAAAAGAGAAATATGCAAAGTATAGAGAGATTCCAAATGAAACTCTTTCTGAATCCCACCATTTTCTCAAAAGCTGTAGAGAGAATAATGATAAAAGATTGGTTCCATTTTTTAAATCACTGTTTAATCATCAGTCTTAAAAAATTAACAAATAGCCTTCACTTTCATTTTAGTTACAATCTTTTGTACTTCTAAACAGGAAATGGCAAACAGCAGAAGTCTGATAAGTGCTCGGGAAAAATGCCATATGGCATGTGCATCGTCACAAAAAATACGATGAGCTCCAAACTCTGCAAATGTCTTCGTGCCACAGGGATGCACAACCTACATTAGCAAAAAAAAGTGTGAATAAAGCCATGGCAACTTTTCACTCATGTAATTTGTCAATGATGCTTCATTTCCTTCTGCGTGATAAGTTGAAAAAATATAATTGACTAAATATTTTGTTAGCCTCAGTCTCGGAGTAAGGATGAAGAGATGTGGAACATTTAAAATATTTTTATAGTTTCTCTGTATGATGTACTCTCAGTTTCATTCGAGCATGGGGGGATATATCTCAAAACCCTACAGGCACACTGATTTTTAACTTTGGTTCTCTGTTTAAAATTTTTTAGTTCTGAAAAGTGTTTGTGAATCCTTCATTCTGGGTCCACCTGCAGCTGACTTAGTGGTCCTGGAATCTAAAATAATTTTCTTTGTCTTCTCACGTCTCTTTGTCTCTTTAGATACCAGTTCTTGCTCTTTGCTCAAACAGCAAACCGGAACACCGAGCCGTGGTGTTTATAATTGATTTCGGTCAGGAGAGCTGAAGATACTTTTGTAGCAGAGGAAGTATAAGAACGATTAAAAACGACGAGGTACGGCACGGGTTTATTGAAGGGGAGCGATCCCAATGCGTCTGGAGAGCCCTCCCCAGGGCTGTGCCAGGCGGGCAGCCTTGCCATGGAGGGGCAGGAGCGGGGCTGGTGACAGGGTCACACCCGTCTGGTGACGGGGGCACGGCGGGGCGGAGGGTCACTCCTGGAGCAGAGCAGCAGGACGGGGCAGGACGGGGAGAAGGGCCGCGTGTGTGGGGCCCGGGCAGCCCCCGCGGGAAGGAGCGGCCCCGCGGGGCCGTCTGGCGGCTCCCCCCGGGCCCTGGGAAGGGGGATCCGCTCGGCTCCTCTCTGGCAGAGCTGGCCGCGAGCCCAGCAGCCAAACCCCAGCGCCAAACCCCTCCAGCCACCGCCGATCCCAGGGTGCTGCTCCCCTTGTTCCCCTGCCGCACAGAGAGCAGATGGCAGACACCAACTTGTGCGAGTACGAGCGACGCTTCAGTCTCAAACTTCTATAGCTTTGATTTGGCCGTGTTACCTACCCAGCTAGTAAAACTACACTATGGTAGCTCAATTATCAATTTCTTTAGGAGCACTTGTGTATATTCCCATTTTTCGCCCCCATTTCTTTTCCATAGTGTGGCATCTTCATTCCTTGGACATAAAGTAGTTTTTGTCTGATCCGTGTCTCTGGGGTGAGACAGAAGAGATGCACTGGGTGCTGTCTAGTTTCTTGGCTAATAAAGAAGAGATAGTAAATGCTCTCAGATTATTGCTATAACCAAAAAGAACGGATCAAACATTTTCTTGTGCATTAAGCACCAGTTGCTTCCCTGAGCAGTCTGGTTTCTTTTCTTTAGTGTACTGGAGAAAAAGTTTCCGTGGCCAGAGGTCTGTGGGATGCCAGGGTTTCAGTGGGGAAGTGACAGAAAGGAGAAACAGTTTCTTTCTATTCATCAACTCAGAGCTCCAGTGTAAAATTTTCATTCAAGCCTTTGGCAAAATTCCCAATAATTTCATTGGGACAAGAGTTTCACTCACAGCCTGTACTTATTAGGTTATTACTCAGCATGTACTCATTTAGAATGGATTCTAGTTTCGTGATAGCCTGTAATTGGAAAGAGTGTTAGGAGAAAGGTAGAAGATATGTTTTGGTTTTGTTTTTGTTTTTGTTTTTTTTAATAAAAGGAAAACAATCATCACTTTTTCTTTCCAGCTGCTGTATGAGCTGAGATCAATTTAGTTTACTTGGTAGGTGTGAGGTTTGCAGCATTATTTGTTGAAGAAGGTCGTTCTCAAAATGATAAAGACTGTGTGTGTAAAGCTGTCCTTTGTTGAGTGAGTTATTATGAAGGCAGCTTCCTAAACATTGAATTTGATAAACTATCAGGCTTTGGTTTTTACCTTGTAAAACATGTATACTGTGGGTTTCCTGTATAATGAAATGAAATTTGGAATTTTCACAAGTCTTATGATGATGTTAATGCAGACCTGTACCAGAAAATGTTTCAGGACCATAATATATGAAACATCCTCTGCTTACTTATCAATATAAAAATATATTAATATGGTTATCTGGGGTATACATGCATGCAGTGCAACAATAATGTAAATGCAAACAAATATGAAACTCATATGATGGCTCAAGGAAAACAACAATGCAAACAAATAATGAATAATATAAGATTTGCTTAATCCCTCCATTATGGTTAAGATCTGATATTGCCATTATTTAAATTTTTATTACCTTTAATAGATAAACAAAATGTCTTTGCTGTTCAGACAATGCTTTTCTTGAGAAATCCAACACAAAGTACAAGTACAGAAATAAAAATAAGGTAAACATAAGTAGGAGAATATTGAAATAAATCCCTATATCTTTGGAGCAACTACCGAAAAAAAATAAAGCAAAGAATACATGCTTGTCAAATATGCAGTATAAATAAATAATTCAGGTGCAAATGGATGACTAGAAATAACAAAGAGACGACCAAATAATGAAAGGCTAAAGGGTGGTTGTTATATCTGATGTACTTCATTGTATATTGTAAGTAATTGCTATCCATAAAAAATCCCATGGCTTCAGTATAAGAAAAAGAGACAATTTGACAGGCAACACTGGCAGCAAGAGGCAGCAAGTACAAATCCTTGGCAACTGTCATTATCCTGCTGTTGAATTCACATCCCAAACTGTGTGATAACTTTGACCTGTATCGCTGTTATGGAACCAATGTCTGTTACAGTAACTATATTTTTCACTTATCAAAGGAAATCATTAGCCATGTGCAGATTTATGTCTTAGAAACCTGTATGGGCTATTTATTTACTTCTCCTTAGTACACTGTTGTTTTCTATTTAAAGAAGAAATATGGAGATGTGCTTTGGTTACACAATAATGAGTAATTAGAAAATTGCACCAGAGCAGTAGAATAGAAATTTTGGTCTAACATAGCTGAACAATTTCAGCATGTAGAGCTAACTGAAAGTAGAAGTTCCTTTTGTAATAATTACAAAAAGGCCTCAGTGTTTTGGCCATGAATGAGCAGCAGTTTAATTGCTTTTATATGGGAAAAAAGAATTGTTAGAACTCTGCAGGTTTTTAGTTGTTTTCGTTTCTTTTCCCGTCTAAAGTTCTGGTTTCAAAATCTTTTCTCTCTGTATCTCTATCTGGGCATCTTTCCTTGTGCTGTAAAAATAGGATCACAACACCTTGGTGTTAGCAGCTAGCAAAATTTTCCTTTAATATGGAGTAACATTCTTCCTGACTAGTGAATGCCATTTCAAACTGACTCTTTTATGCAGTTTCTACATATTAAAACTTTAATTTTATGGTGTTTAACCTCCAGGAGAACGGGCACCGGAGTTACATCTAAATCTGAGTTTTCTCAAACTATAAAACAGCTCAGCAGTGCAAAGGTGAGATTACTTTTGGTAATTGCACTCTTGCATCTTCTGTTTGAAACCACCTCAGTGAAGGAATTGGAGTGTGTGCACAAGTACCCTAAGGTTTACGTACACTGTACACACAAATAGTTGTTATGATGGGGGAAATTGTAAGGAAAAGCTGACCAAGGACTGGGGAACAATAATACCTGTGGTATATTCCTTGTGTAGTGTAATTTAGTGACAGTAGGTTTCGTAGGTGTATATATATTGTTGAAAATATACACATACAAAATGTGCGTTGAAAATATTTGCTACGCCAGCCCTCTTACATGAGGGTTTACTTGTCCTGTAAGCAAGGTCCTTGGTGGGTAATGCCAACAGTACTGGTTTTATTCCATCGGAGTAGTTTGTGAGTGGCAAGTTACGATTTTATCTGGTAAAGAATCAAGGAATCTACAGAGTAAATAATGGCAATTAATACATTTTTATTGTATAAAGAAATTTCTTCCTGGTTTTGTGGTTATTTTCTGCTTTTGAAGTGGGTAACAAAGTGGTCTTTTAAGGAAAAGGGTATTTGCAAAAAATAATGTCCTCTCGCTGTCACTAGTCAGAATGAAAACACAGCATAGTGTGCTCAGATCTCATAATACTAAAACGAGTTTTCTTTGATTGAACTCCAATATTTAATATTCCCAAGACAGTATATTAGTTTAAGGATTTCCTAGGAAGAAATACTGCAATTCATGTGGACAAATGCTAAAGTTCCCATTTGTTGTGATATCATTTTTGTAATTTATAATGGGAATGTTCTGATACTTTGGAGTTATTTGAGTATGAAAGGAGAATGAGGGCTTGATCTCATCCAATTCCTTTCTTGCTTCATCTTGATCTTTAATACTGCTCTTGGCACAGTTACACTAGTGCTGATTTGGATCTCCCAAAGACTGGATAAAATTGGATTGCTTGATCTTCATATGGATGAATATTCCATCCAGGCTTTTGGCCTATGATACAAAGTAATTTTGTGCCATTAATAGTGGCCTCAAATTGAAAGTTGGAGGCTTTTGTTCTCATTATCTTTAGTGTCTTTATGCAAATAAAACCTTTTTTTCTAGCTTATGAGGTAATTTAATGTTCATTTTGTACAAAGGAAGGCTAGCACAGACTTCATGCTAGTACAGTGTGGCATAGCTGAAATACCTGCTGTACTTCACCATAATCCTGTCCTACAGCACTTTATACATTTCCCTTCTGATCTGGGCTTGTGCAAAGATTAATTGAGATGAATTATGAAATAATGTTACAGTTTGCAGAAATAGGAATCGGTTTCATAAGGTATTTTGCAACTTTAATTAAGATATTGTAGGCTTTTCTGAACTCTGTACACTTAATTAGTACTAATTTAAAGTAGTTGAAAGTCCAGAGCAAAAAGATAAAATTTTAACCACATTTATCATATTTTTGTGTCAGAAAACCTTTCCCTCCCTACTCAAAAAAGCTGTTAAAATACTGAAGGGAAGCAGAGCTCTAGACAACTTCTGTTTGCCCACAACATTCACCTGCAATCAGCAATGGTATCAAGCAGGCCAAGACTTCAAGATTGTTTTACACATCAAACCAAATCAGTTCAGAGCTGTGATGGA